ATGTAGCTGTTACCAGTCCCCTCCCCCCCTAATTTTCCTCTTGATCTTTGCAGATAAGTATACAGGAGGTAGAACAGTCTCTCACTTCATTTTTAATTAACCATGTTGCCTGAGACAATTTTCTTTTGAGAAAGTTAAGCTTAAAGGTAACCTGCTATCACCTTGTTTCTTCAGGGGTTCACATAGGTGTGCATAAAGGTACCCCCTTCTCCCTCCCCAGTGCACAGTTACTTATTAAATTTCAGAGCTGAATAAGCTGTGCCAGAGGTCTGCTACTTTTTGAGAAGGCTGTGAATTTCAAAGTACTTCTCTGAAGGTGGTGGATTACTCCTAGTATGTCTTGTAGTTTCATTAACAGGTCAAGTTGTCTGTTCAGCATCCCTCCAGAACTCACTGATTGCAAAGGTGTGTGCTGTTCTTGATGGAGGGTCACTCACAGTGCCTGTTGTTTGTTCTCACTGAAGCTTAGTACTGTTAGGTAGAGTAAATGGGAGCTGAGAACCATTGTGGTATAAAAGCTAAAGGTTCCCTAGCTCAAAAGCCAGTCGAGTCCGACTCTAGGGTTGTGGTGCTCATCTCCATTTCAAAGTCGAAGAGCCAGCGCTGTCCGAAGACATTCCTGTGGTCATGTGGCCGGCATGACTAAACACCAAGGCACATGGAACACTGTTACCTTCCCACCGAAGTGGTACCTATTTATCTACTTGCAATTTCTTGCTTTCGAACTGCTAGGTTGGCAGGAAGTGGAACTAGAGATGGGAGCTCACTCCGTCAAGGGGCAACTCGGGTCTCGAACTGCTGAACTACTGACCTTCCACAGCCTGTAGTTCAGCGTCTTAACCAAAAAGCCAGTATTTTTCAGTTCCGTTTATATTGAGCCCGGAAAATATCGGTATTTATTAATATTCCCAAATCCCAATACCGGTATGGTATTTGGATTTGGTAAATATTCAGGATTGCTGGATTTTTTCTGGCTACATTATACCCTATGAGGAACACTATAGTCAATGGTCCCCATAGGCTATAATGGAAAATTGATTTGGGGGTATCTGGGGCTCTGAGGGGGCTATTTTTGAGGGAGAGACACCAAATTTGTAGCATAGCTGCTGGTGTCTTGCCTCAACTCCCCTCCCCCAAGTTTCAAAAAGATTGGACCAGAAGGTTCAATTCTATGGGTCCTCAAATAAAGTGTCCCCATTCTCCATTGTTTCCAATGGAGGAAAAAAGGCATTTAAAGGGATCACGATCCCTTTAAATGCCTTCTTTAAGCTGAGAGTTCACTCCGAAGGCATTTAAAGGAACTGAGAGACTTTTAAATGCCCTTTAACTGAGACTATCCAGGAGTCCCAAAAATCCCAGATATTTTTGGGATATTTTGGGTTGGCCATTTTGGGATAGCCAAATAAGTAGGCCACTCACTAACTGGCTGAAAAAAATATCTGGAAAATACCGATCAGGTATTTTTTGGGTAGTTTTTTTTCCTGCTCGGTTTATTCTGAATGCAGACTCCTAATGTGGAGTAGAGGTTAAAATGTGGAACTGGGAGCAGGTTCAAATCCCTACTTGCTATGGAACAATGATGATTATAGGCTAGTCAGTCTCTCTCTCTCTCCCTCCCTCCCTCCCTCAGCCAAGCCTACTTCAAACAGTTATTATGAGGATATTTAAAAAATGGTGGGGGAGAGCCATTTAAACTTTCCAGAACTCCTTGGGAGAAGGGCGGGGTAAAAAAAAAGTGACAGAATAGATACATGATTTGTACATGATTTGTGCTGTCATGCATGGACTTCAGGGTGAGCACCCAGTGGGTTGAACAGAGAATACTGGGGCTGGGGATCACCAGCAAGTGATCATGTCAGCTGATCTCAGCATTCTTCCACCTATAGGCAATTTATTTGTATCCCAATTTTCCTTGGCTAAAAAGGGGGTTTCCAAAGAGGGATCACAATATAAGTCCAATGGAAGGTGATCCTTGGAGATGGGATTCTTGGTTAGCGGGACACCGGCACAGTGGAGAGGTGCTTGGCTGCTACCTGCCCTCCTTGGGTGACACATCAGTGGAAGCTGGAAGCTGAAGGGTGGGGAGATTTCAATTGGAAGCTGGATGCAGGCAGTGATGTCTAACATGCCCACATATCTTGACATGCTGAAGGATATTGCTAAAAGAAGAAAATGTACAAATAGTTCATGAAGACTATGGATTTTCGGTATATCCAGCAAGGTAATTAAAAAAAAAAATACAAAAAGCACACACAACAGCAACATACACACTTATGAAGAATTTGGCAGACAAAGAATAATCAAATCAGCTGAATGGTGTGAAAATGGATTATTTATATTAAATTCTGCTTTTTGATTGTCTGTTTAAAGAGAAAGGGAGAAAAAACAAGCCAAGTATTTTGGCTGCTTCTTTGGCTTTTAGATATTTAAAGGGGGGGGGGAAGAGAACAAAGTCCAGAGTTGCTTTATCCTGTTCTGGAATTTTATTTTATTTTTTGAAATGTCAAACCTTCAAGCATCTCTTGTGGAGGCTTAAACAGGCTGGCTGTACTTTGATGGAGACCTCTGGAAAGAGGCATTTGAACTTCTGAAGCTGCTCTACCCAGTTGTGCTTTGATAGGAATGTGAGAGGAGGGAGAACAAGAGGGAGAGGGAAAATAATAAAACAAAACAAAACAATGGCCAGGGGTCTCTGTGGACCATTGTACAACTATGAACCAGTTACGCTGGAGGCAATGCAGGATCTGTAGCCTTTGAAAAGCAAACCACTTGGAACTCACCCTGTTTTACCCCCAGTATTTTTTAGCCTCAGATATCACTTGGTCTGTTGGATTCCTGGGTACCTACTCTCAACATTTCCCCTTTCTGCCAAAATAATAGCATGCAGAAATACAGTTATCATGACACAATCCTATGAGAAGTTATCCTGGGAGATTCCTGTTGAGATGAATGGAACTCCCATGTGTTTGATGGAAACTTCAAAAGGGACATGGTTGCAAGCCTTAATGCCATTTCTTCACAAGCCCACCTTGTTACTGATTAGAAACAGTAAAATAACTAGGTAACCGAAGCCCTCTGAAGTCTATACCAAAGTTTGAAGCTTTCTTTGCTTCAACAACAGGCAGTTGTGCTGAAGCGATCCTCTCTATGCAGTGGAAGTCGAGGGAGATCTTGATGTAGGTGGCATAGGAAACCCATGTTCAGTTTAATCACTCCACCCCCTAGACTGCTTTTTCACTCAAGGGATACAGTTTGAGTCCAGTGGCACTTTTAAGAGCAACAAAGTTTTATTCTGGGTATAAGCTTCTGTATGCATGCACATTTCAGGTATCTTAAGGTGCCACTGGACTCTAACTGGTTCTGCTACTTCAAGCAAACACAGCTACCCCCCTGAATCTATCATTCAAGGGATGTCTGACTGAGTTTATAAAATAAATCACCCTGGGATCTGTAACACCCTAGGCTTCTGTAATAAAATATCAAGATGTAACTAGAAGTGTGACACCTAACATTGTTTCTACAATGGTCCAAAGAAAAATCCAAAAATAAAAGCCATGTGTCGGTGCTCTGACTAACTTCAACCTGCTACTCCGAGAAATCCTTGTGCAGCTTTGATAGTTACTTTGACATTAACTTTGCAAAACACAGTTTAATAACCAAGGTTCCCCCCCCCAATTCACCTCTGATCTCTGCAGCAGTATTGTGAAAGCAATCTTATAATCAATGTAATTGAAGATCAGAGTTAATGAGGACCTTGGTGTTTGCAGAATCCCTCAAGTGATGTTGGGCATCAGGCGTTAGATAAGGAAATGATTGGGCTCAACTGAAAATCAATTTGCCTAATTAGGAGAGGCATATTCCCACCAGTCCAGACGGGGTGTGGGGAGTCTGAAATACTGTTCAGGTAAGTATTTGGCAGGAATTTTCTGCTAAATTATAGATCAAGAGAGAGACAGATGTTTCATGGGAAATAAAACTTGCCTGTGGCTCTTGATCCATCCAAATTCTACCAAGACATGAAAGTGGACGGTTGTGTATGGACTAGTTTTCCCAGTGATCATTAATTTCTACCTTCATAAAGTCTATGTGAGATTTCACCACACAGTCACTGTAGCTTCTTGCATTTTCCTATTTTTAACCAATCACACAAAGGGATACTTAGCTGACTGAGAGCTGCAAGGTATGTGTAATGTCCAGATACTTTCTCCTTCACTAAGGGCACACATAGGACGGAACTGTACAAGCATTTATCATCTAGCCTTTTCTAAATGGCATCATTTTAATTGTAAGCCGCCTTCAAGCAAGGCTTTGAAGAGGCAGCATAGAAAGATCCTGAATAAATAATGTAAGGATTTCCAAAATGCATGGCAAGGCAGCAGTTTGTAACCCTTAGCACACAATGAAATGACTGTTGTTCCAGTTTTGTTCTTGTCCAGATTCTGGGGCAGATGTGATAATTTTGGACTCTTAAGCAAAGGCTACAATCAGCAAGCTTTTCTGTGGTCCTCACAACCTCTTTCTGATGCCAGAGCAGCTTTGCCCTGCATTTCTTGGCCTCCCTCCTTGACACATTTCCAAAAAGATCATTTGGCACCTGTCTTCCTGGACCGGTCTGCTGCTGTCCCTGCCCCCACCTCCCATGGTGCTCAGGGGAGAGGCGGGGCGCAAGCTCACATGCACTGCATGTGAACATACCACTCTGTTGCTAGCTTCCTTGATAGGCATTGGAGCTTTGTGTGAGCTTGGAAGCTACAATCTGGGTGTTACTTTATTACCAAATTAATCTGTTCTTTCTGGTTTCTGCAGGAAGCAGTTTTGTCGTGAGTGAGGGAAGCTATTTGGACATCTCTGATTGGCTGAACCCAGCAAAGCTGTCCCTTTATTACCAAATCAATGCCACATCTCCCTGGGTGAGAGATCTCTGTGGGCAGAGGACTACAGATGCTTGTGAACAGCTGTGTGATCAGGATACCGGTAAGTAAACGGTGTGTGTGTGTGTGATATGAGCTACAGACTTTGGGGGCCTTGTGAAAGAAAAAGAAATGGAATACAACTGAGCACCACTATAACCTTTTGCTCTCTTGTTCTGGCTGTGATCTGTGCAAACTTCCCTAAGTGTTACTCTTGTATTCCTTTGTGCCATGAATAATTGTTTTGAACTTCTTGTTGTTGTTTTTTTAAAGCCTTTAATTAGCAATGGGTTTGAAAAGCTACAGATTCCTCTGGATCAGTGAACAAAGGTGTGTGTGTGTGTGAGAGAGAGAGGGGTTTCAGTCTGAATCATATAAGAGCTTGGATGCTCTTTCTTGGTTGGTCTACCTTCCTGTGATACTTGCTTTCTTTGCCTGCACAGGTAAGAGAGAACAGTGCAGGGAAAAAAGGACTCTGGGCTTTCAGTGTTTGCTGCTGGGATTCAAGGAGAGCTGTTGTTTGTTTGGTTGCAGTGCCCTTGAGATGGTATAGCAGAAGTGTAGGAATACTTCGCCTTGGGTTCATCCCAGGGCACCATTGTAATACCTAATGTCTATCATGTAGGTGGGTCTGATCACAGGTGTCCTTACTACCTGATTGATGCTTCCTATGCAGGTTGGATGCCAATCACATGGTACAGGGCTGGCCCAAGGACCTGGGGAGCCCTAGGCTAGGCTGCCAAAACCCTCAGCACCTTGCACTGTGGGGAGGCAGGGAAATGGCGCTTGCCCTCCTTTCCCCCAGCACTGCCTCAGAAAGCCACAATCTCCCTATCATTGCCCCTCCCACAGTCAGGCAAGGCTCAGAAGAGATAAGGAGGTCCTGCTTTAACCTGCTCCCTGACAGAGAGACAAAAAGGAGTGAGTTGGTTCCCCCCTGACTGCCTACTGGGGCTGGGGGCACCTCTTAGGGCAAATCCTGATGCTGCAGGTGGGTGACCATGCAGGAGGCGGGTGGGGTGACAGAACTGGTTAGCACCCTGCAGCACTGGTGCCCTAGGCTGACTGCCAAGGAGATGGACTGCCCCAGCATGTGTAAGCCCGCAAGCCTGCTATGGTGTTTTTATGGACTGTGTTATATTGTACCTGATGAAGTGTGCCAATACTGTACCTGATGAAGTGTGCCAACAACGAACTGTGCCTGAAGCCGACATGCTGAGAGCACCCGGTGAGGATACATACCAAAGACTGTGTTCCTGCAATGGTTGTTATTCCTAAGGGGTTCCCGTGTCTAGCAGACGCCATTTCAGACCAAGCACATGGTCACAGAAAGCACAAGACGCCATTTCAAACCAGCCGCATGGTCACCTACCTCCAGGGCCCCCTCTCCCTCGCACTAACGAAGCTGCACGTACCCATAACGACCTACTATTCAATCTGGCAGCATGGACATGAGTCATCCATCTGCATACTAATACCCCTAGCCCAGGTGTCTTGATTGAGTTAGCAACTAGATCTCAAATTGCCCGCCAGCCCCTTGGCCCACCCAGCAAAATACAGTAGCCAATCACTGACCTCTTGGCTATGACAGAACAAAGCGTCACAGGGGAGGTCCCCTGGACCCAGCTCCTCCTCTGACCCCCTCTGATATAATCAGGAACGCACCCATAGTTCGCTCTCTTACGTTCCTGCTCTTGAGCTCTCAACACTGGAACCCCCCATCGCTCTCTAACGACGCCCTCTACAAAACCCGCTTTACCTCTTAAGCCCAGCTTGCTATCCTATATCCTACCCATCCCTCTTTACGTTCTAGTATTGCGCAGCTAGAACTTCTTGGCACGTGGTCTTAGCTGGTCTGAGTCCATTCGCCAATCTTTTCTAATTTTCTCCCCATCCTCACCCCTTCGCTGGAAGTTTGGAGCCATGCAGTTGCAGCTAGGTAATTATAACCCAGAGCATCAACCACCCTAACTGTGTTGTATTATTCTATCTTAATTTCTTAGTTCTTGTGTGCTGTGATTGTTGTATGTTATTGTGTGAAGTGTGCCAGTAAACTATAATTATTACTAAGGAAGTCTGCCTCAGTCTTTCACTGGGAACCTCGGAAACAGTGCCATCCTCCGTAAAAATAGACGGAAGAATCCTGATAAATAACTGTACCGGTTGTTTCCTTTAAGGAGCAATTTGGCTAACACATGGTAACATAAGGTTCCATGCAGATGGTATTGCCCATATGGATGTGAGGCTTCTCCCTTACTGTACTGACTCACCCACCCTCTGCCATCCTGGGTGGTTTGAGCCAGCCTCCCTGCTGGCATCAGAATGGGAAGGAGAGGGGTTTTGGGGCATCTTGGCCCTCTTCCTTTCCTCCAAGGGACCACACCCTCACTCTCTCACTCTGGCCCTGTGTGCTCCACCTAGTTTTTTACTCTCTGGCTTGGCTTTGAAGCCTCTCTTTTATACCACCCTTTGGCCTCACCCCTGGACCTTGGCTCCAGTTTGGGTTCAGCCCTGCCTCTTATTGGAAGTGATAAAAGGAGGTTGGATACCCACTCTCAGGGCCATCTGTCCTTTGCTGTCCCTCCTGGTCTTTAAAGGTAGCAGTCTCAGTCTCCTTCCTCCATCTTCTTACCCTGGCCCTTCCTGTCTGTCAGCCTTCACCCTTACAGGCCGCTGCTGGACTGTCCAGGTCTCTAGCTTCCTCTTTAGCTCCGGTGGGGTCCACTACCTGGTTGGGGCCTGTCACTGCCTGCCCTGCCAGGCTGACCACCGCTCCTGTATTCCGTGCTGCCTCCCTTTGTGGGTAATGTCCCTCAGGGCACTGGGTAGTTTGTGGCTTGCCCAGTGGGAGTGGGACTAAGTCGGGGATGGGAGCCAGCCCCAGACAATGGGGATGGACCTTTCAGCATGACAGCAATGGCAGAAGATGAACCCACAGAAATACAGCCCTTGCGCAGCTTCTAGAACATTTAAAGACCACCTAAGGCAGAGACCAAAGTGATCTTGCTGCTAGCACAACTTCCTGTCTAAGGAACCCATAGAAACCTGTTCAGAACTCTTGGAAGGTGATAATGACTTACCAGCTGTCCCCTGGTGGTCTCAGTATATAGGTCTCTTATGGACCCATTTTAATTGGAGGATATTTGCTCCTGTTTGTTGGAGCAGCCTGTTTTGAGGTTGCAAGCTATGCAGGTTATCTTTAGGCATAGATGTTCAGAGCAAATTTAAGATATCCAAGTTGAAAGGGTGTTTATTTTACTTTCATTTGCTATGAGGATAAAGTTGGTGATGCTAGCCTCTGTGAGTTGAATCACGGCTAAATTTTGTATAGTCACGGAACATTTCTGTGTCTCATCTTCATTTGTTTGGTTGGTTGCTAGGTCTGGCTAGGTGTTGCTATTTGAATAGTCATGATCATCAAGCAAAACCCAGCTTTACAAATGTAATGGGCATTTACTCTGAAAGTGCCCTTTCCCTTCTAAATGCTAACTTTTTAGAGTTTTCTATGTGTGTGTGTTTTAATATTCCCAGTTTTAGTGAGCAGCTTGTGAAGAGAGAGAGGGAGGACAAAAACACCTTGCTCTTCATTCTTTTAATGCTCAACAGAAATGACCAACAGTGTTTGCGGAAAGATTTTTTTAAAAATGAAATTGGGTTGAAGGTAACCCTGGAAACCTTTTAATGTTGAAAAACATTTGGAAGTTGTAAACAGCTGATAGCAAGAGGTTTGAAAGGAAACAATTAACCCACCTTAACTTGAATGACCATTGCTGATGTAATTACCCTATAAGGTTCCCCGTGCCTAGCTGCTTACCAAAGGGAATCTTGCCACAGCCCTAGGGAGCAGATTTCCCTTGAAGCAGATTGGTTAATGACCTCCCAGTGCTTTTGCTCCTTTCATTCCTTTTCTCTTCTGTGCTTTAATTTGCTTTCAATTTCCCTTTAGGAAAGTGGGACTAAACCTAGCAGGGGCTGTGGTATGATCTTGCCATGTGCCCCCCCTTGAAGGCACTGCTAATTATTTCCAAGACCTTTTAGATTCCGTGCTCATCAGCACATGGCAGTCTTGGCATATGGACTGGCAGCATTGCCGGTTTGGCTCTGATAGGCTTTGCTTTGGGTTTGAAATGTGTCACAGCTGTGCTGCAGAAGGTACTCCCCCCCAGTTTAAAACAAAAACAAACAAACAAAAAACCCTCCTGGTATAATTTTTTAAAAAGAAAATACCTTTGTTAAATAAAACTGAATACAGGCCAACACACGCACACACATAAAATGTCTGTCCAGCATTTAACATTCATAACCAGAGGCCATGGGAGAGCAGATGTTTTTACATGCAGAAGCTCCAAGGTTTAAATCCAGGTATCTCCAGCTAAATGACCTTGAATGGCAGATGCTGTGAGAAACCTTTCTCTACTTGAGACTGTGTTGTGGTCCTGCCTATGGTGGTATTTACCAATCAGGGTCCACTTTTCTTCCAAACACTCTCCCATTTTCCATTTTATCCTCGCAATAGTCCTATAAAGTAGGTAAAGCTGAGTGTGTATGACTGCCCAAGATCACCCTGTAAGTTTCCATGACAAAGTGGGGATTTGAACCTGGGTCTCCCAGATCCTATTTCAACATTTTATCCACTACACCTTGGTGGCTTAATTTAATTCCATGTAATCTCCATCCCTTATCCGAAGAAATGAAAAATGATCAAACATGGAATGATTTCTGGTTCACTGCCTCTTGGAGGATTTAACATCAGGAGAAAGAACCCGGGGAACAAGAGAGGAGGGCAGGGTGCACCTTATGCCAGTCATTCAAAAATGGGAAAGCAAGACCTGCACGATACGGTGGATGCTTCCATGTAATCAGAATACTGGGGAGAGAGCGTACATGTATACAGTGTATGTCCTCTCTCCAAATGGTAGACTGAATGTAGTTAAGTGGGGTGGGGTTGGTGGGTGTGATACTGATCCTTCTTTTGCATGGATCATCTGCACATGATTGTTTCTTATGTTCAAGGCTAATGACGCTTCAGTTGGATGGAAAATGGGGGAAGTGTTGGGGTTAACG